TTCACATAAATGAGGTACTCCCTTTTCTTACCCCTAAGGCTTCTGTGCTGCAGAAGGAAAAGAAGTACAATTTGTTGAGCATCTATTTTGTGTCTGGCACTTTGCAAGATACATTCTTATGTATTACCTCATCCATAGAAACTTCATGTTCTTTGTCACGGAGCTCCCATGGCAATGACAATGAGATAGGTGTAGCATTTCCTCGGTCATTGGCTCTATGTTGAGGACTAACTATATTTGTTTCTTCCAGTTCTGTTGAGTAAGCAGTTGCATGTGGTTGCAGAAGTTCTTGCCAGAAAACATTACAAAACTCTTCCAGATAATGAGCCTGTGCCTTTGATAGAGTGTTAGGGCCACTTCTGAGGTCCCTTCTGAGTCCAAGGTTCTGTGAGCATCTCCATCTGATGCCTGGCCCAGCTCTGTGTCTCGGCAGGGGGAATGTAATGGGAAGATGGCCTTATTGGCAAGGCTGAGCATAAACCAGAGAAACCTGGCAAGAATCGCAAATGTTAGCATGGAAACAAACCTAATAGGACTTTGAAAAGTGAAAGCTGACAGTGGAAATCAGCAGTGTCCACAGAGTCACTTTGAAAGAGTAGAGTGGTGATGGAACCTCAACAAGGAGAAAAAGCCAGACATTAGCGCCAAACCAAGTGCCCAGAAGCTGTCATTGTGAGGCTCGGAAGACTGAGCTCTAAATGTGCTCAGGGAAGCTAGGTCTATACTTGTTCCATCAATGGAAATTCCAATAGGAAGGGACTGATGAACGTGCTGTGGAGGGAGACCGTGACCTTGTTATTTTTTCCTTCCAGGAATCTGGGTGCCAATGAGAGAGCTGGGGACAGCTTGATGTTGGAGACAGGCGGACGGAAGAGGGAAACTCAGGGAATGCATTCCAAGAGGGAAAGCTGTTCCATCTGATTCTGTGACTTTCTCTCTAAGGAGTCACCTTTATCTTGGGGATTCCAGAGTTTAGTATTATTATAATCGTGTCATACATCTTTGCTGTAATTATCCAATACCACATTTACATAGTCAGAGGGCTCAGCTAGGAAAGGACACCAATTCTGTGGCCCAAATCTCTCATCTTCAGTTAAAAATACTGAGACATAGGGAGAGAGAGTGACTAGCTGAGGTGGATTAATCTGTGGAAATGCAAGGATTTGTGCAAGGTCTCCTGATTACCAGACTAGTATGCTCCTACTATACCATTTACTACCAGGGGCCTGCTGAGATGTCATAGAAAAGGCTGATTTAGGTGCATTCTGTTCCTAAGTGTGTCACAGTCTAGGGAGATTGCATGGTAGACAGGAAGGCGCACAGTGTGGGAAAACTGGCAGTTCTGGCTGAAAGTCCTGGATCTCTCCCTGATCTTCTGGAAGACTGTGTCTGTTTCCTGGGGCTACCATACAAATTTTTACAAACCGATGGCTTAAAACAACAGAAATTTATTCTCTCACATTTCTGGAAACCAGAAATCTGAAACTAAGGTGTTGGCAGGGTTGGTTCCCTCTGGAGGCTCTGAGGGAGAATTCATTCTGGCCCTCTCTTCGCTCTGGTGCCTGCCAGCAATCCTTGATGCTCTTTGTCTTGCAGATGCATCAACTTCAGTCTCTGCCTTTGTCTTCATGTGGCCTTCTCCATGCCACAAATTTCCTCTGCCTTTCTTGTATGAGGACACTTGTTATGTATTTAGGACCTACTCAGGTAATCATGAATAATCTTTTAAAAAAATATATTTTATTGGTTCTTTACAGAGAGGAAGGGAGAGGAGAGATGCAGAGAGCTAGAAACATCAATGAGAGAGAAACATCGACCATCTGCCCCCTGCACACTCCACACCAGGGATGTGCCTACAACCAATGTACATGCCCTGACAGGAATCGAACCAGGGACCCTTCAGTCCACAGACCGATGCTCTATCCGCTGAGCCAAACCAGTCTCTGCATCATGAATAATCTTATCTCAAGACCCTTAAGTTAATTAAGTCTTCAAAGACTGTTTTTTTTTAGAAATAAGATCATGTTCACAGGTTCCAAGGGTTAGACCCTGGACATATCTTTTTATGGGTCACTATTCAACCTACTACAGAGAACTTGGGGGTGTCCCTTCTGTGTCTTGGCTTCCCTATATGTAAATAGTGAGGATGGCAAGATCCCACTGACTTGGAACGGTTGGTTCTACACAGGTTTGTCTTCATAGATACTGATGGAACCCCAAAATACAGGCATCAACCCAACAGCCTGTGCCTTGATGATCATCATCCCCAGCAGTCACGTAAGATGCAAATTCAAATTCAAGAAACATTTCTCAACTCTCTATAACTTCCTTTGACCATAGACTTTTGAGGCTGGTTGGGGAAGCTGGCGTGTGGTCAGACCACAAATAGGGATGCTTTATGAACTCCCCTACACATGGGGAGAGAGCGTTCAACAAGAGCAAGTATGAAGGATTGCTGAGTTCAGAAAGGGGCTTTACAGATATATCTTGCTTAGGGTCAGGATGAGAGTTGGCAAGCAAGGTACTTCCTTCCAGTATAGTATTTAAGAGGGAGCTAAAACCCTCAGTAGTCAAGATAAATAATATTTTAATAAATAAAAACAAATGCAAAAAAGTCTATGATGAACAAAATATCAACATTTTAAATAAAGACAAGATTCATGTGATAAATCACTTAGCTCACCCTAATACTGGTCCTGAGAATCTTTTCTTACATTAAAATTGTGATATTTTGTTCATCATGGGATTTTGCATTAATTTTGAATTTTAAAAAATATTTCATTACTTATTTTTAATCTTGATTATTGAGGTTTTTGGCACTGCCTTAGATTTTGTCCTTAGTCCCAGGCATGGAACCTGTGAGTTACAACTGGAGGGACAGGCTGTTTAGTTTGTAGTAGGGATTCTTCCAGGACGTGGTCACTGACTAAAGGACCAGTAGGGGATATTAAGGGAGAAATAGTGAGTCCTTTGGTACTGAAAGGATCTCAAAATCTGATGGGAGGCTGGTCTACATGATCTCTAGGCGATCTCGAGGGCTTCTGATTCTAAGAGGCAAAAAGGCTACAGATGACCCTGTGTAACTTCAATTGTCTTGTAACCTCTATCTGGACAATGTAACAAATGCTATCTCTTGCCTCAAAGACTTTGCCTCCTGGGATTTTGGAAGCAGCCTCAAGCTGGGAGCCTGACTTTGCTCCCATGGCACTGTTCCATCCTGGGAGGCCCAGGAGTCAGTTCCCACACTGGGATGAAATGAACAGCCCCAGGGATAGCCCCAAGGCGGCCCATTCACAGGCATAGCAATAGAGGGGTAAGGTCAGCCTCCTCACCAGCCTTTTCCCTTCTCAAATAAAAAATAAAACAGGGAAGTCATTGACCTGGGAAATGATTTGGTATAAAGTCAAAATATTTGCTATGGGGAACACTGCAAAAAATTATCTTCTCGAAATGCATTTCTGTGCACAGCTCACATCGGGGCTCACCTGTCTGGAGTCACATCCGTGCTCCTGAGGATGACAGCTGAGGCCCTTCCCATGGCATCCACGGCCCACACCTCCCACTTAGCTTCACAATCTCATGTGTAATTATTTGGTTTCCTTAAGTTTCTCAGTTTAATTATTACACTGTCTTCCTGCGTATAATTTTTTCCCTTTAGTTTTTGTATTTTCCTCAAAATTTTATACATTTTGCACCAGTTATCTTCTAATAAAGTATAAACATTGACACTTTTAATAATAACACTTGCTGAAATATAATGAGTCGTTTCTACTCATTTATTCAGCATCTCAAAACCTTTTTATATACTCATTGATTTTGGTATAAAAATATTTCTTTCAACCTTTCCTAACCAGAGTATTTTTCTAGGGTCTCTCAGGTGCCAGCATGATCTACAGTTGTTTATAAAATGTGTCCTAATGATTTGGCATTTTCTTGACAAATCAATAAACCATTCTTATAGAATTGGCCCCAATTGAGATTAAATAATGGATAAAATTATATATATATATATATATATATATATATATATATATATATATATATATAACTTTACACCAAGTTTATTCTTTAAATGAAACTGGGTCTGTAAGAATTCTGGAGCTGAGTATAGAATTTAACGATCTGAGCTCTGAGAAGACAGAAAAGAATTATGTGCACTGCTGTATTGAATTTTGGCTAGTAGTTAAAATTGAGAGAAGACTGTTACCATCTTCACAAGGACTGTCATCTCCAGATTCTTGATAATACTCACACTGATACAGAACATGTATGCAATTATGAAATGCTTTACATATGCCATATTGCCTGAGTCCCTCACAGCCCTACTGGACAATCAAGTCAGGGGTTCAGAACACCTAGTGAGAACATATGGAGGCCCCAACTTAAGTACCCTGCCTGGGTCCTCCTCCCAGTTATGACAGCACTGGAGTATCAGACACCATGAAGTATCAGATAGCCATCTTGCTATCAATCCTCCTTTTTAATACCAGAGGAGGATATTTTTACTACTATTATACAAAAGATGGAACAGTGGCTCAGAGAACTCAAGTTCAAGATCAGAGCTGGTAAGTGGCAAAATTGGGGTTCAAACCAATCTGGTTGGTCTGCAGCACATGTTTCCCCAAGTCTACTTGAGAGTCTTTCTTCTCTGGGTTGACAGGAGCATCGGTGTGACTGAGAAACGATATTCCCGGTCTGAGGGGCACAGGATAAAACTATGGCAGAGTCTCAGAGGCAACACTTGTAGCTGGTACTGTACAAGTCACAACTCCACCTCTTGCATGAACACTGTGTTATGAGCTTAGAAAACACCCTTACCCTATTTGATGCTCCCTGTTTCCTAGCGGGGCATGCAGTGGATGGATGACTACTCCCATTTAATAGATGTGAAGCTCAGAGAGGTCCAGTGACACACAGTAAAGGGCACTTTCTGCCAACATAATCAGATAAAATGATCAAAGGAGATTTGGGGGCTGAGATGGACAGACAAAGGCACTGACCTTTCCTGAGATGGTCTTGATCTGCTTGGAGCTCAGGGGTTCAAAGTCCACACCCATGTAGCCCTCCATGGCAGCAAGGAGATTCTTCCGGAGACAACGGGATGAGTTGGCCTCTGTATGCACCTGCTCCCACCAGAAAGGCTCATACCAGCCCGGGATGATCCACTGGTATTTGCTGCCATACATGTTCTCCTCATATGCCTGCAACAGATGGGTTGACCATGAAGGCACCAAGAATTACACATTTGTTCAAGACTTTGTGCTCTGTGAGAGAGGTGTGTATGCTGTGTGTGTTGGTTTAGGGGGAGATGGCAGGAGCTCAGGCCTCCTCTTATCAGAGGATTTGTTAATTTTTCTATTATATGCTATCTCTCCAGGGATCCAAGATAATTTATAGATAATGTGTATAACAGAATATTTAACACGGAATAAAAATGAAAACATAAGGACCTGAAAAATGTTTACAAGAGGTAAAGAGAACAGAACATAGACCAGTTGTCCAAATTTCCAATACTACACATAATAAGTTCTATATTTCACCAGGAACTTCCTGGCAGCCCAAGAAAAAATGGCAATGAGATTATCTGCATAGCTCTCATTATCAACAAGGAGAAGACAGACCAGTTGTTCAGGGAAACAAAATGTTTTGTAGACATTAACACTAAAAAAAAAAAAGTCTTATATTAGCTAGCATGGTATAAACAGCATCCCTATAACAAACAGATTTCATAAGGCTATCTTGGTATAGCTCTTTACTAAAAGCTGAGATCAAAATCTTAAAACACAACCTGGGGGAGCAATTTTGCAAGGGGCCAGGAAAATGTAGTCTAAGTGTGCAATTTATATAAGATGCCTCTTGGCAAACTGAGCAGTCTCTCTGAATCTTCACCCAAAGTTTCATGTACATAAATTCAATCCTAAAAAAAGTCCCTTGCATTTGTATGCTTTACATACATCTCATTTGTCAGTCATGTTCACCCTTTAAGGTGTTCAGGGCAGACTTTATTATTCTCGTTTTAGAAATGAGAAAACTAAAAACCAGAGTCAGAAAGTCACTTTCTCAAGGTCACAGAGCCAGGAGAAAAGTCAGTCCAGAATCTAGATCTGCTGACTGTTATGCTGCAAAACCACACTGCCTTCCTACCATTAAAAAAAAAAAATCAACAGACTGTTCTACTGGACCTCTATTTGGCTTTGGTGTTTTGTTGTTATTGTTATTTTTTAATCCTTACCTGAGGATATTTTTCCATTGATTATAGAAAGAATGGAAGAGAGAGGGAGAGACAGAGAGAAATATGATATCAATGGGAGAGAAACACATCGTTTAGTTGCCTTCTGCACACACCCTGACCAGGGCCAGGCTGGGGAGGAGACTGCAACTGAGGTATGTACCCTTGACCGGAACTGAACCCAGGATCCTTTGGTCAACAGGCCAATGCTCTATTCACTGAGTCAAATCAGCTAGGGTGGCTTTGGTTCTTATTGTGATGATTTTAGATCAGGAAAAACATGCTTTTTGGTAGGTTAGATGCACCCAGAAAATTCTACTATGCGGGAATGTCATGTGCCATCAAAATTGGGTCCAGAAAGAAGTTTCTAAGTAGATGCAAAGTCCACTTTTTTTTTTTTAATTCCCTTCTATTTTTAGAAAAATAAAACAAAACGAAACTTTTGGAAGCCTTCTGAGTCTTAACACATTGAGGCAAGAAGATAGCCCACTTATTAGGAATGTACATTAAATAAAAGTCAATAAATACAGAGTAAGGATAGGAGGAGTTCTTCTAGTCAGACATTCATTACTCTCGGAGGACAGAGCCCATGTGATACTTTAGAGGCAGCCCTGAGCAGGAAGCCAGGAGCCTCACACTTAGAGCTCTTTGACCTGCTACCGTCCCATTTGGAGTTGCTCCTTGTGAGTGAATGTCCCAGAAAACAGAAGTTTAGTCCATTTGAGTGAACCACACTTTGTTTAGAACATTAGTCTATTTTATGAAAATAAGAAATGTTCTACCTGACTTTTTTTGGGGAAAAAAAAAAGATTCCAGCCAAGCAGCTCTAGATTCTTTGCCCCACACCAGCTCTTAACTAGCAAACAACACCACGGGCCTCGCATTTCTCATCTACAGCCTGTGGAAAGCAAAGCCCATATCACTGGGTTGGTTCCTATTAACTATAGACAGTGAACCATGATGAGAAATTTAAAAAAAAATCCCATTTCTTATTTTATTAATCTTTTGTTTGCCTTCTCTCCTACCCATATAAGAAGGACATCCTATATAATAAAAGGCTAATATGCAAATAGACTGAATGGCAGAACAACTGAACAACCGGTGCTATGATGTGTGCTGACCACCAGGGGGCATGTGCGAAACATGGCTGGCATTGGCCGCAGCAGGATGGTGGAGCAGGTAAGTGGGAGCACCAGACCAAGATGGAGAACCAGTCTCTGTCATCGGGGTGAGCCTCTGTCATCGGGTGAAATTCTTTGCTCCCATGTGCCACGGTCCGGCCCAGTGCACGCACCTGCTGCTGCACCGGCCCTGCTCACACTCACTGACAGCACCAGCCCAGTTTGCACCCGCTGCTGGCATCAGCCCCAATGGCTCCACACCGTCAGCACATGGGAGCAGCAGCAGGAGTGGGGCTGCAGGCAAACAGAGGACAGAGGTGTGGGGGTAGGGTGGCAGGGGTGGGCCTACAGCAGGAGGGGCCAGGTGAGGGGCGTCAAGGATGGGCCAAGACCAGACCCTATGCCTACTGCAGCCTCAAGGCCCACAGTTCCTTTCAAGGTACACAAATTTGTACACTGGGCACCTAATTTCCCTATAATATTATAGTTCACTAAAATGCTGTTAGAAATCCTCATGTCAGTAAAGCAGTTAATAGTTGGGACGATGGTCTCCCTTCGGTGGCTTTATTTAAGCCTCTTGACAACCCCATGAGGCTGACGGGTCAGAGATCATTGCTTCCATTTTAGAGATGAGGCAGCCAGGGATTAAAGATACGAATTGACCTGGCCGAGGTCGCACAGCTGGCAGAGCTAAAACCAGAACCCGGGTCAGAGTGCTGGAGAATTGACACCAGACCACCAAGGAGGGAGAAGACAAAAGCACCATACCATGCTTGGACTGTGCTGGAGCCAGAATGAACATTTTGCCACGGGCTATAAATAGGCCTTACATTTGCTGGAGCCTGCTCGCCCACTGGGTGGCAGTTCCAATCTCAAGAACACAGCAACATGCTGCAAAGTTTGCACTGCGGCATTTGGATGGCAGGGACGCAGTGTTTCCATGCGGCGTGTGCTCTGACCCCGACATGGGCGGGAAGGCTCTCTGTGTGGATCTCTGCTCTGAGTGGCAAACCCCACCCCTCCATCACACACCCCAGTCTTGATCCATTGTGAAGACATCAAGTAGACACCCCGCAGGACCTTCTAGACCTGCCAGAGAACTCCTTCCTAACCAGATGAGACTGCACGGCTGGAGGGCAGATCCATCTGAGAGTCTGACACATGGAATAAACATCCACCCCAGACCTCTGAGAAACCCCTGCACGAGCAAAGCAGCCATCAAAGACTCTAAGGGAAGGTCCATCTGAAAATACCAAAACCCAATAGGAGGAAAGAGAAGAGGGGTGAGAAGGTGGGGTGGTGTCCCATGCCATGTGAAAGGCAGGCAGCCTGGGGCTCTGGGTCAGGAGAGAGACAGCCACACCATCTGTTCTAAAGCAAAGCCAGCCACGGCTGGAAATGCTACTCAGAAAATAAGCCCAGTGCATGGCACAGAGTGAAATCACAGTCATGCCTGAGCTCGAGTTTGGCTCAGATCAGAACATGAGGTTTATTGCATTTCTTGCAAATAGGAGGTGGCCAGTACTCAGTGCGGTGCCTATATTGACCATTTTTATTAAAATTTACATTTCTGGGAGTTATTACCCACCATGTGCCAGCTGCTTTCAAGACCTGGGCTTATGAAGGGGTGGGGGGAGGGAGAGGGCAGCATTTTCCCTGAAAGAGAGCACATCTCCAATTATTTTCCTTTCCAAAATTGGCCATTTCTGGACCCTATGTGGTAAATGTATAAGGTTTTATGATTTCTGAAATAAAATGTATTAAATCAATTTGCTGTTTTTAAATTTTTTCTCATGTCTATCCTTAGATTTTCATATGGAAATAACCACTTGTTATCCTTAACTGATACAGAGGATGCTTAATACCACCTTGAATAGTCCATCAGTTAGTAAACTCTCCCGCACACGGTCAGTCCTTTAGACATCCGAGCCCTTCCATGACAAACCCCTGGCATTTGCTGAGGGCTCCCTGCATCCATCAGGTGCTATGCAGTGTTTCTGCTCATTTACTCTTCACCGCAATGCTATGAGACAGATGTCATTATTATCTCCACTTCACAGGTGAGAAATCAGGCTCAGAAAGTGACAACAATTCAGTAACCAAGCAGCAGAGCAAGGGTTCAAGTCCAAGGGACAGACTCCAGAGCTCTCAGCTCCGCCCAGAATCTTCTGAAATGCCAGCCTCGTATCTTCTCCTTCCTCCCTGGGATTTCGGGAGATAATCAGGCAGTTCTTGCTTTGCTCCTGGGCCTTCAGGATGAAATATTGCTGTGCAACTGTGGCTTCCAGCTACGGCTCTTGCTTGCTCCTAGTTCCTGCATCTGTTCTGAAACAGGCACCAGGAGCTGAGCTGGACATCCTAGGTGGAGTCCTACCTGAGTGTGGACATGCAGTCTGGTCCCCGTGACTCCCTTGGCAGCTGTGCTTACACTAACCTTGAAGTCAACAAATACCCAATGTCTCTGTTCTCAACACACAGTGCTCCTCAGTTATGCCTCTACCTCCCTGGACTTAGGCGGCTTGATTCGTTCTAATATAGCCTATTGTTCGGACTATTACATTTAATCTTCGTGAATTTAATCAAATGTTCCAGCCTGTTATGGTTCTTTGCACCCCAACTCTGTCATCCTACATACATCACAACTGCTGCTTTTTATAATTTTACTCAACTTACTGACAAAAGTTCAAGGAAATAGAGGCCTGTGGCCAACACTAGAGACTATACCCACATTAACCTCAGTCTAAGAGGAAGAGCTTATTGGGTCGATGATGACTCACATAACTGGGTTCTCATTCTGCTGACCTTTCTCCTGTCTCAAGGCAGACAAGGGGAGCCAGGGGATTAAAATGGAAAGACTTAGTTCATGTGTTAGAACTCCTATGGATACTTAGGTTAGAACCTCAAGTGGAAAAAAGAGGATTCAATGGGTAATCATGTGAATAGAAATGAACCTCAGCTCTGCCATGAACTGGCAGAGGGCTTTTGAAAAGCCCCCGTTGCTCTCTGGGCCTCTATTTCCTCTCCTATAAAATGAGCTAGTGATAGTTGCTTCGATTGGTTATTGGATAGATTCAATGAGATAAAGTATAAAAAAGTACTTTGTCACCTGTCACATACCAGACAACTGTAAAGGATTCAGGGGCTGATAATGAATAGTTAACTCCAAAGCTAAGACTCTGAGCCCTGCTTACAGGGCAGGGAGGAGTCTGAGGCAGCTCAGCCTTGCCCCATAAGTGAGATCTTCCTCTGAACAGTGCACACTACAGGCTTCTACTGAGCATGGCTGAGTCAAGAAGACTTAGGATCAGCAGACAGGGCTTACACAACAGGTTAGGCATGGATTTGGTAAACGATGGTCACTGGTTCCTCCTATGACGGCATGTTCTGAGCGCTGGGGTTTTAGCTCCATAAAAAGAAGAAAGAACAGTGAGAGTAAAACTTTTGCTTCCAGACTCCAATCCTAGGACCTTGCTCACCGACCAGGCAGTGAGAATGAGTCTGAGAAAAAACTTTGTGAAATTTCCCAAAGACACAAAGACATGATCAAAGTTTTACTTACACAACAGAACACTTTTGCTGCCATATGCTGGTCAAACTGGCCCAGGATGATCCTCACATCATTGCCCTGTGGACAGAAGGACAGGTACGTAAAGGTGAGTGGATGATGGCACACCCTAGAGTGCTTGAGGCTGTGGGCAGAGAATGTTCATGCACCCGAGGCTCCAAGCCAAGAGCTCTGCCTGAGCAGGGCAGGCAGGGAGACCTCAGATTCTCTGGCCCTTTTTGGGGCCCACTTTCCCTTGGTTCCTGCTGTCAGCCCTCCCCGGTCTCATGGGCAAATAGCAGGATAAGTCTGCACAGGCTGGAGGCTAACGCTGACAGCTCTAAGGGGCCTTGGCCTCTCCGCTGCTCTCCTCCAACTCTGCAGGGTGCAGAAACTGTCTAATCTTCTGCCCTGCACATGCAGGGAAACTGAGGCCAGAGGAGGGAAGGGAGCTTCCTCGGTCCTCAGGATGGTGTTTGCACAAATGAGATATGAGACCCAGCTGAGCCGCCTCTCCCTCCCCTCCTACCCTTTATTCTAGACTTTTCTACCTTCCTGGAATCCACAAAGCTTCCCAATCATGTTTCAGAGTCTGAGTTCTGAGCTTTGTTCAAATACCAGCTCTACCAACAGGCTTTAAGGGTGGCAGCAGGTGGCACCTTTTTCCTTTGTAGCCTCAATTTCCTGATCTGCAAATTGTAGATAATAGTGATACCTACTGTAAGGGTTGCTGGGGGCACTAAATGAGACAATCCTTATGAAGTGCTTAACTCGGCTTCTGACACATAGTAACTGTCCAATAAATACTATCTAGTATTAGTTTTAAAACCTCCCTCTGGTCCATCTTCATTTCAAAGGAAAATCTATATTCGAATGCTCTATAAATGGTTATTTATTATCTCATTATTTCAATTCAGTATCTCATTATACCAATGTTAATAGGTATAAGTTGTACAGCAGCTTCTGTGACTCATTTATTAACAAACATTTACTTTCTGATGCCCCCTCTCAGGTCAGGGGAAGGGGTTCTTGGTTGCTCTCCAGGGAGTGAGGACTCAGGCTGGGCCCTATCCCATAGAGAAGAGGCTGACGGAGGCCCTGCTGGGCAGTCACCAGACCAGCTGGGTCCTGGCCTGCATGCCTGTCCCCTCCCCCGTCGTCACTTCCTGCCTCCTGCGGTGAGGCCGAGCCTAGCAGGTGGTGCTACCTTCCCACTGTTCCTCCTGTACTCTCCAACAGGCCTCAAGACCCTTTGAAGCATAAAGAAGGGAAGCATGCTTTTAAATATCAGTTTTTAGCATCTTTCAAAATTGGAAAGTGCTGACTGGGAGACCATTTTACTCATCATGCACTTTAGCAAAATAAAAAAGGCTTGGATTCTAAAATCATCCTTCGTTTGCAAGCAAGAATGGAAAGAAGAAGGAAAAAAAAACCCACTTGCTCTGAAAGGACTTTAAAAGATCATTAACAGAGCAGTTGAAGGAAGGCCAGCCTTTGTCATCACCATGTCTGCGATGCTATAAAAAGTTCTAAGCCGCTTCCGCTCTGTGGACATGCTCTCAGGCACACTTAGGGTCTTTCTGTTTGTTGTGGAAATCTTTTAGCATTTCTTGTTGCTAACAGTATCCACCCAGCAAACATTTATGGAACATCTACTTGTGCCAAGCCCTGTGTTGCTAAACATGATATAGAAACAGCTTATTGGATTTTGCAATTTAGACAGGCCTTGGTTCAGATCCCAGCTCCCCCACTGACCAGCTGCAAGATTGTGAGTCTTACTCTCTTGAAGCCTCAATTTCCCCATCTCTGAAGGAGAGATAATGCTACCTACCTTGCAGGTGGCTGCAGGATTCATGATATGAAACCTACCTATTGGCTTCCATGATGTTCTCTCCTGGTTTCCCCCTACCTCCTGGTTACTCCCACTCAGAATCAGTTCCCCATCTTTCTGTCCACTCATAATTCTGGTGTTTCCCTCAGTTCTGCCCTCATCACTTTCTCTGGGCAACCTCATTCATGACCCCCACACTGTGTGCTGTGAATTCCAAAATCTCTCAGTCCAACCCGGATACTGTTTTCCAGCTGCCCACTGGATACCTCCTTAGGTTCTCCAGGCACTTCAAGTTCACTGTGACCCAAAATGGACTCATCATCTTTCCCAGCAAGCCCCTTCCTCCTCCTGTACTGTCCAGCTCTGAGACTGGGGTTGCCAACTGCCCACCCCCAAGCTGGGAAACTTGGCAGTCATCTTAGATTCACTCCTCTTTCTTCATCCAAGCCATAACCAGGGCCTGTTGGTTCTGTCTGTTCATAGCTCTCAAATTATCCCTGTCCTCCAGCCCCACAGCCCTGGGTTTAGCCACCATTATTCCCTATTGGTGAACCACAGCAGCCTCCCATCTAGATCCCTGCCTTTAGTCCTGCCCCACCCACCAATGTATCCACAGAATCATTAAGATTCAAATGTGATCTTGTAAAATCTTTTCACGGCTCCCTGAGCTTTATAGGACAATCTCTGAGCTCTTCAGTAGAGCACTTAAGATTATTTACCAACTGACTCCTGCACATTTTTCAGTCTCATTTCTCACTAGTCCTCACTTCTTACTACTCCTCCACAGCAGCGAGAATGAACTACCTGCAGGTCTGCAATTAGTTCCGTTCATTCATTCATTTTTCCACTCAATCCCCCCTTTCTTTCTGTAAGCTAATCCATCTAGGAAGATTTTCCCTCCAACCCCACTCATTCTGCCTGGACAGTGGCTACTCACCCACTCTTCATGCCTTAGCTTAGGCACCCCTACTCGGAGAGGCCGTCTCTGACCCATCAATCCTGATGGCCATTTATTCCTCTATGGGCCCAGAGCACTCTATCATGGCACAAGGCAACTTACTTGTCCATCTTTCCCACCAGACTGAAGGTAACTTGATTCATCTCTGGGTTCCTAACTCCCAGCACAGGTCATAACATACATATCAATACACAGGTATTAGATGCATTAAGCACAAAGCCTGGCCCATACTAGTTATTCAGCAGCTGGTATCATCATTGCACTTTTATCCTGTTAGCCTAGGGACTAGGCACTGATTGGGTTCACCATGTCAATTTCTCGGATGGACCAAGGGACCCACATCTTCATAGCTGACCACCTGGCCACTTGCTGTCAGATAAATAACCAGCTTTGCTATTTGTGGACCATTTAAGTATCTCTGTTGCCTTGACAACCAAGTTGGATAGATTGCTTGGTCGGTGCTCCTAGACTCTTAGGACTAGATGGGGTCCAGGGGATCAGTGATCTCGTTAACCTCTTCCTGGAGAGGCAAAAGATTCCTCTGCACAGGACTGCACAGCACCCCGAAACCAATGGTCTTACCTTGGTGCTCCCTGATCACCAAAGCACCCTGAGAAAAGAGCCCATCCAGAGCCGGTTTATGTTTGATACAGGAAGATATCACACCTTTCCGGCTCTAGACAGAGAGTAAGAGAGGGTATGATGCTCCAAAGTCTGGGAGGAAAAAGAACAAGCCAGCACCTAGTGCAGCTGGAACCTGGGATCGGGGTTGGGTAGAGGGCAAAGGGAGATGCGACTGGGCTGGGATCCTTCCTGGGGGCCTGGAGAGCAGTATGAAGAGGATGAGGTACTTCTCAAAGGAGGGTAGGTGCATGAGGAGTGGTCCTGTGGGTATGAAAGGCATGATATACCTGGTTTGTCTTTCAGCAATTTATTGGAAGACTCAGAATTTGGGGAAAGGTTTTGGATTTGGAGGATCTTATAGGGTTTTAACACTCATAGTATGCTGTCACAAAAGTTCCAGAATCATGCTTTTAAATGCTGCATAACTAGCTTCTTTTCCTGAAAGTCCAGAGAGTGGAAAGAGGTATGAGCACACTCTCCTGGGTATGAGTATACTCTCCTCAGGAGTGAAAAGTGCTTGGGGACAGTTTGGGGGAGCAGGATATAGGGGAGGAGAGTCAAACGTCCCTGAGGATGAGAGTGACAGAGATGAGCTGTAATGTTACTGAGAACCTAGGTCCCAACCCTTCCATGACCCTGATTCTGCAAGGTGCCGCTTGAGTATAAATAGATGACCTGAGATTGGATGGCTAGATCTAAGGTTGTAGACCATAATGGAGACATATGTTCAAGCCCTCAAGAAGCCAAAAGAAGGGGCAAAAATGGAAGGAAATGGCTATGGCCTGGAGGGGTGGGAGGCCAAAACTCTGGGTGGATTTCCATTTCTTTTTCCTAGGCCAGTCTCATTGTTTTTTAGAACACCTTTGTCTCTGAGACCCTTGAAGGGAGCTAAAATCACACACACATATATATACACACAAAAGTGACACTTAAGAAGGATGACCCAATTAAAAAACACCCGTTTGCAGGGGTCTAGCAAAGTCAAAATAAATGACAATTCCTGAGCTCTTTCTAGCACTTACGCTAAGTAGTACATCAGTCTCAGCCTAGGAGGGAGGTGCTATTATTATGCCTACTCTGGAAAATTTCACCAGCAAACTGAGGCTCCCCAAATCGAGATTTTCCCAGGTGGGGCAGATGCCATTGGTCCTGCTGAATTCCCTCCTCAGGACTGGCACACCCCTCCGAGCTCTGTAGTGAGGGTAGCTGCTAAGCGCTCACTCCCATCTCAACTAAGGAGAGAAGCTCAAAAGGCTTCAAAAGGTTATGCCAGGCCTCACACTCCATAGCAGCCAGTGACTGACACACACACATAAAACTCCAGCCCCTTCGCTGAACGGTGAGCCCAGCTCTGTAGTGCAGGCTATGCTCCAGAGACCCTGTGGGGCCAGGCTAACCGAGTCTCCACCTATACAGCATTCTGGCTAGCTCCCTTCTAGCCTCATCCTGCTTCTCTCCCCTTCTCCTGAGCACACTCTCAGTAAATCATTTTCACAAGAATCTCAGGCTCCCTTTCTAGGCTAAGATACACGGGTAGGAAGTGGTTGTGCAGACCTCGACCCCAGGCGTGTCTTGGCTCCAGAGCCTGATGCTTGACCACTCCCTCCTAGATAGTGCCTCCCAGGCTAAGAAGGCCAAGCCCACCAGGCCCGAGCTGCAGGAGCTCAG